AGGGTCACCCCCTCCCCCCCGCTCAGGAGACCGCCCTGGATCCGCCTGTTTTTCGGATACACATTCGTCCTTCGTAAAGCATGAAACACATGAAGGGATTTTCCCGGTGTGATTTCAGTACTCTGAACCCTGAAATTGCATCTTCGATCTTGTCCTGCAAAAATTAGACCTCCGATATTGTCCTGTTTGTATTTTACCATGGCTTGGCTCTAACTGAAAGTACATCATTCATTGTATACTGTTTCCAGTGTGCATGTTGCATTTCACAGCCCATAAATATGCAGATTTTGTTAAAATTTGATGCGATTCTTTGTTGTTGCAGTTCTTTCTCCCTGGCCAGTCACCCTGTTGCTCATAAAATCACCTTTTCAACAGTACAGGGTTTTTTTTTTTTAATGCAACAAAAGAAAAACCACAGCATTGTTCGGCTTCTGTCGTATTCTGCTGAAGTTTGCATGCATGCGTGAAAAAATTATCGCTTCAGGTCGTCCTTATACGCTAGAACTAACGATGAAAGGATGGCGAATCGCAGCGTTACAATGGGATAGCATGAATGGCGATTATACGCAAGTATCTTTGCTTGCTTGAACTTTTCTGCAACTGGCAAAAACAAAGAAAATACATCAGGAGGTTGAGGAGGGAAAACAGTTTGAGGAGCTGGCTGTGCATCGAAATACCTCACTTCTCCTTTTTTTTGCTCCTCATCCTTCATCAAATTTTCGTGAATTTTAAGAGGCTTTTAGAATTCTGGTCCATCTAAATGCTCCTGCAAAGGTATTTTCTCAGTATTTTTGCAGTTTTTTTTTACTCTTTTTGCTGCTGTTTCAGTCTTGATGAGATTTTTTCATTGCGAAACAGGTGAATGTTAACGTTTTATTTCGTTTTCCTCAAGGTTGAGTTGGTCAGTGCTTACATATTTTTAGCTTATAATAAAATCGATTCACGCGCTAGAAGGCCAAACCCGTATCAGCCATCAGTATCCTAGGTGTTTGTTGTTGGCATTTGCCATCTTTTGGGCTAATTTCAAGTGCATCCGCCTTTTATAGACAATGATTATTAAGGCAGTTTTCAGTCTGAATTGTATTAGTGGACTATTGTTGCTTTGGATTTAAGTTACGGCCCTAACTAACTTATGGCATTTTTTTAACGTTTTAACACTAAATTTAGTATTTTTTCAATTCCCGAATTTATTTACCTTTCAATGTAAGTTACACTCGGGCTGATTTAAATTTTTTTTTT